CGGTTTTGTTATATATTTTTTGTTGTTTTGTATTCTTGCTACCTCATAGTGTGGGCGGGGGGGGGGTGGTTCTTTTGTTTACAGTTCCTACAACAACGGCAGTCCAAAATGTTCTGATTAATCCTTCAATGATTGGGCCCAAAAATATTCTTATTACCACCAACATGGTCTCATCGCAGAACACAGCCAATGACTCAAACCCACTGAAGAGAAAGCTTGGTGAGGATGATGACAATGACACTGTGTAGGGAACGACGTCCGCCCTGCATACATTTAAAAGTACATGTTTTTGACTCATAAACGCAACTGAACATCCTAGCTCTTCTTAAGTTTTAGCTTAGAAAAATATAGTTGCAATACCTTTCACATTTGTGGAAACTGTCAGGTCTTTATTAAGAGCGCAAATGTCTTTCTCAGTGCATTCAGGGACACAGGTCAAGTATTTGTTTCTGAGCAGCTTCATTCATGTTCTCTCACCTGGCAGTTGTTTTGGGAGCAGTTTTCTGCCATTCTCACTGAGCACAGCACTTGAGTTTTGGTTTCTACAGCCTGGTTTCATGAACATTTAAACATGACTTTCTTTTGTTTGGTCAAACAGTCACTGTCACTGTCACCCTTTTCACCAAATCTCTCCATTTAGCAAACTTATTTTTTGAATGGTTGATTTAAAAGGGTTCTAAGTCCACTTTGAATGTATTTGGTGTTTGCTCTTCTCTAACTTCCCACCCTCAACTCCCTGTCTAGATCCTATTTGTTTTCTGTACTCACCTCTCATTGCCTTAAGTCCTCCCCATCATACTTAAATTTAAAAGGCCACACCTGGAATTTGTAAAATACCAGTCTTAGCAATGCAGCTCAGTGTCATCTTCATACTTGTAAAATGTGCTCTGTATGCCTGGCATTCTGCAGTTCTCTTGAGCCTGAAGGTTTACATTAGCTCTTTCCACTCCATAACAGAGTAGCTGGATTCTATCCCTTGCCTTTCATGCCGGTTAAGCTTTACTCTGACAGGCATCAGTTACATTCAGTTGTATCCCAAGTTGACAGCCCCACCACATTTTTTTAAATTTAACATATATATTGAACCTTAAAATTGCCTTGTTAAGTAATCTACACTGGACCTAGACAAAAACCACTAAAGGGCAAAAGTTTTCTTCCTACCACATGCTTTGGTCACTACTGCCTGGTTTAATCCAGACCATGTTTGCAGCTTGTTGCTGAGGATGTCATAGTTAAGATATGGGACAAGCTTGAAGGATTCTAATGACACGCCTTCCCCTGTAAGACTATCAGGGAAAAATTACTGTCACCTAAACAGAGACTTAGGTGTGTCCTGTAGAATTTCCCAATCTTCCTAACGCCTTCCCCTATCTCCCACTTCTATTTATACCCACATACAAGTCTCATTGGGAAGGACTGCAAAGTTTTTTGAGACTATAAAATAAACCATATGGTTTGGTTTGGTTTAAGTAAGTTTCACATACCCAGCATAGGAAAATGTATACAGAATGTTCTGAAATCTTTGTGTCGATGAGAATTTGTAGCCAAGGCGCCTCAAACCTTAACAGTCCAGTAACAAGACAGCAGTGTCATCAGTTCGAATGCTTAGGAATGTTAGGGAAAAGTTGATAGAAAAACTTAACAAAACACATCAATATCATAGGAATGTACATTGTACAGCACGGATGTCATTACTTGAATGTTCTCAGGGAGGCTTAATATCAGAAGGCCTAGGTTCTAGTCCTTGTTCATTTACCAACTGTGTAAACTTACTTTACCTCTGAGCCTTGTTCTCACCAGTAATAGGAAAATAACACCTACCCTGCCTACTTCACAGGGATGTTGTGAGGGTTTAACTGGTGTGTGTGAAAGTTCTTTCAAAATTGTAAGCTATATAAGTAATTATTAATGTATTTGTTCCAAGGTTATTAATAAAAGTTTAAGCTTATCAATTGTTTTCATTTCTGACTGAAGGGATTGAGGAAGGTATGAATAAGGCACCACCATGCCTAGACTCTTCAAAGTAATATAAACTTATGATCTAATTTTAGTTTATTTTTATTTTATGTGTATGAAGGTTTTACCTGCATGTATATAAGTGTACTTATGCCATGCAATGCCCAGGTCAAAAGAGGGCATCAGATCCCCTGGAACTGGAGTTACACATGGTTGTTAGCTGCCATGTGAATGCTGGGAACCAAACCTAGGTCCTCTGCAAGAGCAACTAGTGCTCTTAACCATCTCTCCAGCCCCTAAACTTCTGATGTGATTTATAATGATGACAAAAACACACTGAGAGAATGAAGAAATATATGTGAAACATGGCTATAAAATTTCATTCTTCAACCTATGACATTAACAGGCATGTTTTAAAATTTCCAGAAGTTAACAGTATGGTACTTAAAAACATGAAGGTAAATACCAGAAAACAATGGCCACATTGGACAATGTGAATCAAGAGTGGGAGGAAAGAGCTGGGCTCTTTGTTGGTTCTGTGGTTTTGTTTGATTGTTATAAAGTTGTGGTTTTTTAAATATGTCCAACTGATAAAAATTTACAATAACGCAGTAGAGTGTAATGTCTGCTAAAGAGTAAGCATCAATAAAAAGCAGACATTGATGCAGTTCCACTTCCCCACTACTGCTGCCCCAATCCTTACATTCAGAAATGTAGATAGACACTTGGTGCCTTCAAGAATCTATTCTCATACTTCCTAACAAAGTATGACAGGGGAAAAAAAAACAGTTTCAATGGACATCTTTATTGTTTAATAGATCTTCAACTTCTCCAGACCTACAACTGGAATTTTGTCTTATTTCCATGCTGAGTCATGAGCAGTGACAAAGCTAATCAGAGGCTACATCAAAAAGAAAACTAAGAATACAGCTCACTTTCCTTTAACAAGCAAAATATAAATAGATGCGCTCTAGAATGCACAATGGTTTAGTCACTATGGAATTTAAATGGGATCTTGAAGAATGTAGACAATCCCGGTGCAGTAAAGATGAGCTGAGATGCTGTGCAACAGTGTAAGGGTTCCTGGTGCTGCATCTCCTGGCGACTAGCTGAATCTTGTGCTAACACCAAATGGAGATGCAGAAAACACTAAGTTGACTTAGGGGCTGTGCACAGGAACCAAAAGGCAGGAAAATACTAAACATTGCTGAGCGCATCCACCCCAGGAAGGACTTTACCTGTTTTTGAGAAAGCACACACAGAGACAGCATTACTATAAAAACCCAGCAAGCTACATCTACCCCCTTTGTCTCCTGATAACATGTCATTCTTCATTAGGATACAGAGCCAGGAGTTGGAAAACTGCACTTTGGGTCCCAGGTCAACTAGAACACGTTCCTATCTACCCCTCCCAGCCTCAAATGGATGCAGGAGCTTTATTTGAAGTTTTCTATTTGTACTGCCCAGCTAATGACTGCTACTGATAGTACTGCCTAAATTTCTCCACTCTTTTACCCACTTCTCAGTGTGCAGTCCTCACCCTACCTTCAAATAAGCCAGAACACAGAGAACAACCTCACCTTCCAGGAGCTCTAGACTGGCGCCACCCCCAGTGCTCACATGGCTGACTTTATCCTCTGTGTTCCATTTGGCACAGCATGTGGCAGTGTCTCCACCCCCTGTTGAATGAAAAGAGGTGAAAAGGGAAGAAAAAAAACCTGTGGACACCAAAACTGTATAGTCCCCAACCCAAAAGGTAGTTAATGAACTCCCAACCCCATCTCTATGAATTATGCACACTTTTAGGTCTCAAGTTTTACCCAGAGCCTAAAGTCCCAGAAAATGTGAACCATTTCCATTCTGCCTTTCCAAATAGAATTCAGCCAAGTTGTGTGGAGAGTTTTGCACAGGACCCCTTACCTATGATAGTGATGCAGCCCCTGGAAGTGGCTTTCACTACCTCATCCATGAGAGACTTTGTTCCCCTGGCAAAAGCTTCCCATTCAAATACCCCCACAGGTCCATTCCAAACAATCTGCTTAGCTCGAGCCACAGCCTCAGCATATTTCTTGCTGCTCTCAGTACCACAGTCCAAGCCCTGGAGGGTAGAATTAAAAGATGATTAACTGTCAAAAAGTTACAGAGGAGCAAATAGCACCTCTACCAAGAACATAACGCAAGGCTGAACATCAAGAGTTTACTACAACCACAAGGTACCCTTTAGCTGTATAGCCTGTATATATATTGGACTAAAAAATTCTACTTTATAGAAGACCCAGATCAAGTGAAAACCTCACATTATTTCATAAAGACATTCTTAGTCACTATGAAAGCAAAAGACCTAGATCAGTGATTCTCAAAAAAACCCCAGCAATCTACATCTGCCCCCTTTGTCTCCTGATAACATGTCATTCTTAATTAGGATACAGAGCCAGGAGTTGGAAAACTGCATTTTGGGTCCCAGGTCAACTAGAACACGTCAATTCTGCCTCTCAAAAAATGTCTGGAAACATTTTTGGTTGTCACAACTTGGGAAGATGGACACTACTGACATGTAGCAACTAGGGACACATTAAATATCCCACAATGCAACAACAGCCCTCCACAGCTAGAACTATTATGATATGTCAGTAGTGTAGAGGCTGAAAAACACTAAACCAAATCAGTAGTTCTCAAACTTTCCATGCATCAGAATCACTGAGTGTCACAAGCCTCTCAGGACTTGGGGAATCCCAGGAATAGGTGCAGGAGAAATCAGGACTAATCAAGCCTTGACAACTGGGAAGCCTTGTTCAAAAACAAAGTGTTGGACTCCACTCCTAAAGTTTCTGATTTAGTAGGTCTGGAGTAGGGCACAAGAGTTTGCCTTTTTAAAGCAAGTTCCAAAAATAGTGCCAATACTTGTTAATTGTGGGACCACACTTTGAAAAACAATTAACTATGTATTATGTCTAATAAAAGAAAAATGAGTAGGCAAACCAGCATATCAACATAATTTTATATAGCTACCAAACATGTGGATGCCAGGCAGGTGTGGTGGAACACCTCTAATCCCAGGACTCAGGAGTCAGAGGCAGGAATATAATGAGTTCAAGGCTCATCTAGGCTCTACAACAAACTAAAAGATGAAGACCATAAAGATGACAAAGAGAAGGAAGAAGAAAGATAACAAAACTAGGGTCAACTCCATTTTTCATATACATGGTTTTTTTTTATATTTTATTATTTTTATTTTATGTGTGTGCATGTATTGCCTGCATGTATGTGAGTGCACCCATGTCGTGTAATGCTGCAAGTCAGAAGAGGGCTTGGGATTCCCCTGGAACTGGAGTTAAGGACAGTTCGTAGACGCCATGTGGGTGCTGGGATTCAAACCCGGGTCCCCTGCAAGAGCAATCAGTGCTCTTAACCGCTGAGCCATCCCTCCACATCTCTCCAGCCCCATAAACTTTTTTTGGGGGGGGTCTTTTTGAGACAGGGTCTCCCTAGAGCCCCAGCTGGCCTAGAACTTGATATGTAAACCAGGCTGGCCTTGAACTCACAGAGATCCACCTGCCTCTGCCTCCCGAATGCTGGGACTAAAGGCGTGTGCCACCACACCCGGCTATATATATTTTTTTCATTATTTATAATTAGTATACATCCAATGCCCTAATGTTTTCCTGAGAAAGTTTTTTGCAATTTTTAAATTTTATTTATTATTGTTATGGTGGGGGAGTACGCATGCTGTGTCAAAGTCAAGAGGACAATTTTGGGGATCAGTTCTCTCCTCCTACTGTTAAATTTCAGATCACCAGAGTTGTATGGCAAGCACTTACCTGCCAAGCCATCTCGCCAGCCTCAAAGTTTTCTTATATAGGCTTATAGGTAGCAACATAATCCAGAACAGCCCAAACCATGAAAGTGCATAGTAAGTGCTAAATAAATACTGACAAAGACCTAAAGAGTAGTCTTGCCCTCATATCACTGATGAAGACAACAGCAATCTGATACCATTGCTTTCATCCCATGGAATTACCCACAAGAAGTGCAACATCTGGAGTCCTCTGTGGCGATAGATTGTTTATATGAAATGTTTGTTGGAGAGAAGGGCATATAACTCAGTGGTCGAGCACTTCTAAAACATGTGAGGCAATGGGTTGGACTGCCAATGTGACAAAAAATGTTAGATGAATGAAAATGTTACCAAAAGTTTCTGATCACTTACATATAATCAAATACCCAACTGACTCACCATCCAGCCAGCAGGTATGCCAGAGGCCACAGTAGCTTGACCAGTCTTGGCATTCTCATCAAACTTGTCAGCAGTGACGAAGTCAACAGGCAAGGTAATCTTCACACCATTTTTCTCAGCTTTGGACATGAGATCTTTGACAATCTTGGCTCCTTCTTCATCATACAGAGAAGTGCCGATCTACACAGGAGAGCCAAGCAGAGATCAGCCTCTAGACTAAGAAAATGACTGACTCACAAACAGACAGGAACATGTACCTGATGACTTTATATCCATACTCAGGTACTAAGGATCCAAGTGTAACTGACTGTGACTAGTAATAATCAGATACATAGAGATTAAAGACACGTGCAAACATGTGTTAGTAGCATTAAAAATGTAGGAAAGAGTATATCTTAAAATGAAATGGAGATCTTTAAAGGGTTAAAAAAGCCAATTTTATGTCCTACAGGGCTTTTACTGAGTTCATTACTGTATGACTGTATTAATTCAATTGTGAACCTAAAAATTTACAGCCACCTTTGAAAGAGCTGTATCCTTGCTCTGGAATGTGTTACTGAATATATTAAAGCTGTAATATTTTGGGGATCAAAACATTGATGAATGAAATGCTGCTTCTAATCATGTGGCTATTAAATTTCAAAATTTTTTTAAAAAATAAAACTTAAAAAAAGGAACATCATACACTATAAATTATCAACACAAAGACAAAAGAAAAAAAACTTCCCAAATTGAGTGCAAATATGCTTTTAGGATTCACATTACATCTATGTAACCTGCTATAATGAGAGCCATTTCACATTTCACACTTGTACTATGGTTTCCTACCTCCATGTTGTTGAGCACCTTAAGGAAGGTAAAAGCCATTCCACCACCAATGATCATCTCATTGACTTTGTCCAGCATATTATTAATCAGCTGGATCTTGTCTGCAACTTTAGCACTGGAAGGGAAAGCAAGAATCATCACCACAAGAACAATTAAGCTAGTACAGTGCTCATACACACAGCCTGAGTTTATATATCAAAGTAGGAAACAAGGAAATGCCCCTGAGTACTGCCTGTTTCTCCAACCTAAAACATCAGTCTATTCTGAAGAAATCCTTTGAAAGTACAGCTCTAGAATAAAGAAAGGTTTAGAAAAACCTATTCTTGGGTTGAGGGTATAGCTAAGTATGAAAGCACTTATATGAGGCCCTGGGTTTGATCCCCCACACCACAAAGACGAAAAAGAAACCTCTCTTATCTAAACAAACCATACCCCCATCCCTAATTCACAAGGCCCAGATTTTCAGATTACTAACTATAAGATCCCTGAGGCTATTCAGAGCTACCCTGAAACTAAAACAGAGATAAGACTGCATATTAAGCATATATTGAATAATAGATAAATAGATACTGAACATTTAGAATATCTATTTTTGGCAGCATTGTTTATGAGTACCAACTCTGTCCTAATAACTTTTCTAAGTCTAAGAAAGATCAGTGGGAAAACAGATTTCATAAAGTTTATTTTCCAATAGAGGGAAATAAGAAAATAAATATGTATATAATTCTCATCTCCCTGTGAAAGAAAAAAAATCCAAACTGAAGAGAAACAAAATAGCTTGCTTTCCATAAACATTCTTATATTTAACTTACACAGCCAAATCACTTGAAGTCTACACTTCCCGCTTCATTCTATAAACAAGGAGACACCTACCCTGTGAGAAATGTATGCTAGGATTTCTGAAACAGAAGTACAAAACAACAGTGGTGTGGGAGGATGGGTGTTCATCACCAAAAGATAATGGACTTTTTTTGTTTTGTGTTTTGAGACATAGTCTTCCTGTAGCCTCAGCTGGTCTGGAACTCCCTATGTAGTCCAGACTGGCTTCACAGAGCTACACTTGAGTCTCTGCCTCCTTAGTGCTAGGATTAAAAGTGTGCACCACCACGTCCAGCCTATGATGGACTGTTCTAAAGGCATCTTTCTAGTAGATTGATTGACTGATAGATAGATAGATAGATAGATAGATAGATAGATAGATAGATAGATAGATAAAGATACAAAGATACATACATAAATACACACACATCACATGTGTTCCCAATAAGATCAACCTAATAGTAGATTGAAAGCCAGGCTCAGGAGGGTAAGGTAGAATAATCACTCCAAGTTTAAGGCCAGGCTGAGCTACATAGTAATATCTCACTATGCCTCAAAAAAAAAATAAAGAAAACATAGTATGTTGAAAATGTATTTAATATAACTAACATGCCCAATGTAATAGTTCAGCAGTATAGCACAGTATAGAGTATGGGCTGTTTAACCTCAGGACTGTATAACTGCCTGGGAACTACAGCTTACTGCCACTTCAAGCATCTGGAGGAGTACTATACTGCATATTCGCCAGCCCAGGAAAAGATCAAAATTCAAAGTACAGTTTCTACTGAATGTGTATTATTTTTTCATATCATTGTAAGTCAAACCATTACACTAAGAGAAGAGTACATAAAGTGAAAGGCAGTGGCTCATCCTCTTTTAAAGAATATAGGAGACTGTACATAGATCAAATGCCCCGACAGAATGAAACAGTAGAAAGAGCTATTCTAGTGGACTCCTAACAACAAAATGCAGCTCATTCAGAACATTATACAAACAACCTAACTGTAAAGACTTTTCTGAGAGAATACAGACTAGGAGTTAAAGGAAAGTAATAAAACTGTCCAATTTCGTTAGCTAAAATATGGTATTTTAAAGGAAAGCTCTTAGCCAGGAATGGGGCACACACCTTTATTCCCAGCACCTGGAGGCAGAGGCAGGCAGATGTGAGTCCAAGGCCAGCTCTATATAGTGACATCCAGGCCCATCAGGGCTACCCAGTGAGACACTATTTCAAAAATAAAGAAAACTCCTCATCAGTTAGGAGCTATACAAGTATTACAAGTAACAGTTTATAATGTTTAAAACTTCCTTAAAAATACTCCTGACCAAAAAAAGGGTGCAAATATGAAACAAGCTTGGCAAAAATATCAATCAATTTAAATAAAATATAAACATTTTCTCAGAAACTATTAATTGATAGGCTTCAAGTGTCTGCCAGGGATCTATCCCCTGTGGATAAAGAAGACAACTGAATTTCAGGGATAGTCTGAAACCTGAACCATAACCAGCAGATGGCACTCACTCCCATATTCCAGATCTAAAGAAAATCTAAGAACAAAATCAGATAGCTCAAATCCTAATTTGAAGGGAAATCAACAACCAGAGGCTAGTCTTTGTAACGCAGTACCACAAAGTTCAATGCTTATCTATTTGCAAGACAACACAAAAACCTGCATTCATCTGGGTTATTTTTAGGACCCTGAAACTGGGCTCATGAAGCCAAGAGAGCAACTATGCTGCATGAAATCGACACCCAACTCCAGAGTCAATTTTCATCAGGGAATTCTGAGTGTTTAGGCTCACCTAAGACAGCTGACCAAGAAGAGTCATGGTCCTCTGACCAGAAAGAGCCTGCCCCTTGAAGAGTTATGCCAAGTGACAGGCCAGTATCATATCCAAGCAGCCTCCAGCTCCTTGTTGGCACTTTATTACCTAAAATATGCCTTCTCCACTTCTACTTCTGAAATTTCTATTTTTGGCTAAATCAGTAATTATACCAATATCCATGATGCCTTTCCCCATAGGAGGGAATATAAAATAAGTACATGATCTGGAGAAATGAAGTCTAAATGATACATTAAACACACAGGTGGAAGTTTTCAGAGCTATTGTCAGGTTATATGTAAGAACTATAAATTTTTTTTAAAGCACCTTAGCTAGGTACGTGGTACCTAGGAAGCTGAGGCAGGAGGATCAGGGGCTCAAGGTCATTCTCAGTTACATGGCAAGTTCAAGGCCAACCTGGACTACATGAGACCTTATCTCAAACAAACCAAAAAGGAACCACCATTGGTAGATCTTTCTCCATTTTTCCCTGCAGAACCATTTTTTTGCCTTTGTCCACCCTCTTCTGTCCTAGGAGACTAACTTCCATGCACCACATCAAGGGGCTCACATGTCTCTGCTTTCTAGGTACACTGGGCTGACAAGTGGTAGAGAGCTGCTGCGGCAGGAGATTGAAGGAAAAGCACAAGTATCTTTCTCTGGCTCACCCACCAGATGGCCAGCCCTATGTCCCTTACCTAAAGACCACAATTTCAAACACAAGATCTTTTCTACCCATTACCTCCCTGGATTCTTCCCTTTGATCTTAAGGCCTAGACATGGTGATGGCTGTTTTTAGCCCCATTATTTCAGGGCTTTCCCTAAACCCAGCCCTCACCTCTGTAGATGGTCTCATTATTAAATTCTCAGTTACCCAGTGTGATTGTGCTACCAGACCATAAACCACCCAAGTTATTGCCTACTACCAGGTAAACATTATTTAAAAAGTATTTTTATTCCAAAAGTATTCTTCATACCCGCCCAAGATGGCCAGAAAGGGTCGCTCTGGGCTCTCTAAGGCCTTGGCAAAGTAGTTCAGCTCCTTCTTCATCAAAAACCCACCAGCCTTCTGTGGCAGATTTACACCCACCATGGAACTAGGGAAAAAAAAAAACAAATACATTCAAAATGCAGTCAAATCCTACCATTTCTTCCAGTCCTAGAAACCATCTCCTTATCACTTAAATGCTTTTTATCACTTCTGAGATTCCAGGAAACCAAGGTTTTTATCCTTAAACTGCAATAAAGCCATTTCGATATTAAATAAAGTTTTTGATTAATAGTATAGGATCAAGGGTAAAGAGTAAAAAGCAATGACCGAGATGGAATTTAAGATACCCAGTTAACAGCAGGCCAAAGGTTGACTCACAATGTGTAACTGGCCAGGTGAGAAGAAAGTAAGATACTTTGATACAATGTTCCCAAAGGGAAAAAAATCTGTATAAGATATCCAAAATCAACCTCTTTCTAAAGCTCGACAAAAAGTTTATAATTCCTGGGACTGAAGAGATGGCTCAACAATTAAGAGCACTGGCTGCTCTTGCAGAGGACCCGGGTTCGAGTCCCACCATCCACACTGCAGCTAACAGTCATTTGTAACTCCAGTTCCAGGGGATCCAATGCCCTCTTCTGACATCCGTGGACATTGCATGACATGGATGCACTTACCTACATGCAAGCAATACGCTCGTAAAATAAAAAATAAAGTATTTTTTTAAAAATGTTTGTAATTCCCCAACTTTTTTGCCTTTATTTACTCTTTGAATCTAGTTAGTTAACAGGGGCCACATAGCTCCAAGCAGAGATAGAAGTTAAAAAGATACACATCCTGGGTATTTATTGTCAAACTGAGACAACCTAGGGAACCAAGGAAGAGATAACCTCAATTGAAGACTTGCCTCCAAGAGACTGAACTATTGACATTGTCTTGACTAATGAGTGATATAGGAGGACTCAGCCCACAACATGGGGGTAGTGCCCACCTACACAGGTGGTACTGGGCTATATAAGAAAGCTGGCTGAGCTTAAGCCAGTGAAGAAGTCAATAAGCAGCATTCCTCCATGGTTTCTGCTCCAGTTCCTGCCCTGGCTTCCCTCAGTGATGGATTGTGACCTGGGAGCATAAACCAAATAAACCCTTTGCTCCCTTAAGGTAATTTTGGTCAGAGTGTTTTATCACAGCAACAGAAAACTAGAACAATATGGAAATCTCTAGGTTGCTCAAGTGACCAAGATCACTGCACTCAGCCTAGTACTGACAAAGCTCTCAGTACCTGTGAGCTCGGTGCGCAGTACCAAAAGCATCATTGACATAGACATCCCCTAGTTTGGACAATGAAGCTCGGAAAGCATCTATTTTGGCTGGCTCAGCTTTAACCTGCCGAGAAAAAGAAAAGGAAAAGCCAATAAAGGAAATGTTGATGGCTCCAAAACAATAAAAGCATTTCAGTCTACCAAGGAGCCTCTTGAACACCTCTAAAGACCCTGAGTTAGTTGGACTGCAATTCTTATAACTAGCAGCAGATCTATTCTTTCTCCAAAATCTTTCAGATCTTTAAGTCATTCCTCCTCTCCTTCACTATCTCTTAAAATCACACGCATACACACACAAATAAACAAGCACACAATAAATACACGTAATAAAAATTAAAAACAAACCAAAATGGTTGAGGGAAAATGAAAAAGATCCCATGCAAAGAATAACGATCAGAACACATTTTTCATTTTTATCTGCCTATAAGTACAACGAAAGCAATATTAATTTGAAAAACGTGGACACATTGAGATGGCTTAGTGGCTAAGAACACAAACTACTCTTTCAAAAGACCAGAGTTCAGTTCCCAACACCCATATTGGGCAGCTCAGAATAGCCTGTAACTCCAGCTCCAAGGGATTTGACACCCTCTCCAGCTTCTGCAGGCACTGCACTCACCTGAACATCCACACACACACATATAATTAAAAATTCTTTTTAATCTTTTTAAAAAATCAACTGTGGGGCTGGAGAGATGGCTCAGTGGTTAAGAACACTGACTTCTTGCAGAAGACCCACATGGCAGCTAACAACTGTCCGTAACTCCAGTTCCAGGGGATCCAACAGCCTCTTCTGTCTTCCATGGGCATTGCATGACATGGGTGCACTTACCTACATGCAGGCAATACATGCATACACATGAAATAAAAATAATAAATAAAATATTTTTTAAAAATTTTTAAAAATCAACTGTGGGGGTGGTCAAATGGCTCAGTGGTTTAAGAATGCTTGTTGTGAGGCCAGAGAGATGGTTCAGCAGTTAAGAGCACTGGTTACTCTTGCAGAAGACTCAGGTTCGATTCCCAGCACCCACATGGCAGCTAACAACCATCTGTAACTCCAGTTCCAGGGAATCCAATGTCCTCTTTTGTCCTCCGAGGACACTTCAAGACACAGGTGAACTCACATACATGCAGGCAATACACTCATACACATAAAATAAAAATAAATAAATAAAATGCTTGTTGTTCTTCCAGAGGACCCATGTTGGGCATCTCACAACTGCCTGTAACTCCGGCTCCAGTATATACACACAAAAAACACATAAGTAAAAATAAATCTCTTTTTAAAATTCAATTTTATCTTCATTTTTGGTATCCAATGTGAACTAATGACAGTGTCTCTGAAATTTCAGGCAGCACAAGCCATTAGACTCTGAATATGAAGTAAATAAACTAAAAAAAAAAATCAAAGTGCAGCATAGTCAGCTCATCAGTTCCTGAATAAAACATTTTACATCAACTTTTCAGTTGCCTCATGCCATTTCTAAGCACTAGAACTTTGCATCTTGAGTTTCAGTTTAAAAGGGTGCTGAACTTTAGGCCAGCATTTGACTGGTACTATTACAGCAATACCATGCCAAAGGCTAGATATGGCAAGTTCAGGGTCTGTGATGCTAAGAAAAGAAACTGCTTAAAAGCAGGCACTCCAGGTGACCTTAAGAAATGTCAGAAGTCAAAAGGGGACTGAGCTCCTTCTCTCAGAGCATCTTGTTTAAAAACCTCAAGAGTAGAAAGAACTAAAACGTGCCCTTAGCTCCCCTTCTATCAGTTGGCAAATCCCAAATCATGGTCAAAAAGCCAGCTTTAGCATTTAATAACTAAACTCCATTGTCAAGTCTAGCAGCCAGTCTTGTGGATTGCCTGTAGCAGCCTTTTTGACAACAACAAAGCTATATAGATCCAACAGACTATATGCAGTTGCAACTATGTGGTGGACAAAGTCTGGAATATTTACTATCTAGTTCTTTACAGAAAAAAAAGCTTGCTGATCTAATGAACTGCACTATAAAGTCAAGCAACAGTACCACTGACTTTAGAGAAATGACTGCCTTTCTGAAACTTGAGTTTTGTTCTTCTGAGACTTTATTTCTTTAGGAAACGAGGCTGGCACCTATACTTACCTTACACAGGAATTCAAGGGAAAAATGTTTACACTTACTAAGAAAATACCTTGAGCCAGGCGTGGCAGAGCAAGCCTGTACTCCCAGCCCTTCAGAGGTGGATATAAGAGATCAGGAGTTCATCCTAGGCTACACAGCAAGTTTGAGGCCAGCCTAGGCTACAGGACACAGTCTCAAACTGCCTTGACTTCCTCACCACCCCCCAAAAAACCCAAAAAGAAATGCCTTAAATTCAAAGTATTCTCACCATGACCATCATATTCTCTTTATTCTCTAACAGCATTCACGCATGTTCAAAGATATTTCAAAAAGCGTGCAGGAAGAAAGCTTCTGCACTGCTGGTCAGTCTATTAATTGAACAGGTAGTACTTACGCTGTGCCTCCCCTGCAATATTCATCCTACTGTGTGCATTTATGCAATTGTTTTGTTTTCTGCAGTGTTGAGGACTGATTCAAGGCTCTGCATTCTATCACTAACCTACATCCCTGGCTCATATTTGGACATTTTTACATGTATATTGGACTTTATTAACAAAATGTCTAAAGAAAAATTGAAAAGTAAAGATGAGCTTCTTCTAGTCTTCAGTCATGGTCTCTTATGAATTCAGGACCTACAGCCCACTAATGCCAAAATCACAAGTCCTACCTTGTTCCCAGAAGCATCTTTACCCTTCCCTTCTTCCTCCACATGAAAGCGGAGGTTCTCCAGCAGGATGACAGACCCAGCTGCTGGGTTGGCACAGGCATTCTCTACTTCTGGGCCCACACAATCCTTCAAGAACAGAACATCCCTGGGGGAAGAAGAAATGAAGAGACTTGAGCATTCTGAAAGTCAAGGGCCAGTGGCAACATGCCTGACTACCTCACCTCCCACAGGGCCCACCAGCACCAGAAACTGGCACTTACTTGCCCAACAGAGATTTGAGCTCTGCTGCAACTGGCTGTAAGGAGTACTTGTCAGGCATGGGAACACCATCAGGCCGGCCCAGATGACTCATAAGGACAACTGACTTTGCTCCATTGTCCAAGCAGAATTTGATACTTGGGACAGCAGCCTTGATCCTGCAACCAAGAAGAAACAACAGACAGAAAGCAATGTTACTCCTAGGAATTAGTGGGAACTGTTTTATTCATGACTTCGTAACATATAAAGCCCCCTTCTCCACATTTTTTAAGTCTAATGTCAATGGTAGAATTCATAGAATTCAGGAGAAGATGTCAAACATGGTATCAACCTTCCACCTAGAACCATGTGGTCCCACCATGAATTTGCTTCTTAGACAAAAACAGCATAAGCAAGCATGAAGCAACTATCTATAGGAAGACCTTCCTGGGAGGCTAGCCCTTGGCTAGTGTCTAAAAACTTGGCTTTTAGAGGCTGGAATGTAGCTTTGGTTAAGTACTTCCCTAGCATGCATGGAGCCCTGGGTCAATCATCAACACCGCATAAACATCAATCATCAATCATCAATACCACATCGTGGTACACTTATAATCGCAGGACTTGGGAAGTGGGGGCAAGAGGAAGTTCAAGATTACCCTTAGCTACATAGTAAATTCAAGGACAGCCTGGGATACAGGAGAACCTGTCTCTAAACAGAAAAACAACCAAACTCAGCTTTCAGTGTTCCCTCAGTTCTCTGATAACAGCTGTTTCACCACTTCTAAACTCTCTGCATAAGCAAGGTAATGTATAATTAACACCTGCTCCCTTCTAGAAGTCTGAAATGTGAGTAGTTGGTAGGTAGAAGGTATGTATGAGACCAGCTCCCCTGGGTATTGAACAGGAAATTCAATTAGCAAAGAAAAGATAGCTGTATACCCCAACTTTGTAGCACTGTTCACAATAGCTGAAATAGAATTCACCTAGTTGCCCATCAGCAAAGGAATGGAGATAGAAAATATGGCACACATACACACTGGAACATTATTCAGCCACAAAGAATGAAATCTATTATTAATCATAAAATTGAACTGGAAATCATTGTGTTAGGTCAAATAAGCCAGGCACAGAAAGACATGTACTGCATGTTTTTTCTCATAAATGTTTTAAAAGGGCCAGTGAGATGGCTCAGCAGATAAAGGTGCTTGCTGCCAAGCCTGACTTGAGTTCAACCCCCAGGAGTCTTACTGAGAAAGAAGAAAACCAACTCCTGCAAGTTGTCCTTCGATGTCTACAACACAGGATGGTGCTGCACCACCATCCCCCTCACACAAATAAATGCAATTTAAAAGTTTTTAAAAGTCAACCTGAATGTAGAATAATGACAACTCTAAGTTGGGAAGAGGAAGAAGGGTGAATAAAGGGAGGCTAGATTTGATCACTATATGCTCCATGTATTGAAATATTACACAGAATCCCAATTATTATGTATTAATTAACAATAGACATTATGGCACTGAAGAGATGGCTCCATAGTTAAGAGCACTGGCTGCTCTTGCACAGGACCCAGGTCCAGATTCCAGTACCCATACAGCAGCTAACAACCCTCTCTAACTCTACTTCCAGAGCAATCTGGTACCCTCTTCTGGCCTCCACAGGTACTATACACACATGGTGCACTTATATACGTGTAGGCAAAACTTATACACATAAAATACAAATAAATAAAAACTTTTTTTGGTCTTTTTGAGACAAGGTCTCCCTGTAGCCCCCGCTATCCTGCAACTCACTGTGTAGACCATGCTGGCCTTGAACTCAGAGATCCACCTGCCTCTGCTGAGATTAAAGGCGTGTTCATATATGTAATAGATCAGATGGCAAAAAGTGCTATAGAGAGAAATAAAGCAAGGAATGTTTGAGAAGCAATAGTGGAGGGAATTTTAGATCAGATGACCAGGGAAAATCTGGTGAGACAATAGTTGAGCAGAATATGGAATGATTTAAAAAACAAGAAACGTTTTAAAATATTTTATTCTATTTAACAAATATTGAAAATTGTTTATATCAAAGAAACCTGTATCCAGTTTAAATTCAGCACAATGAAACCAATTCATGTTCAGGCCTATTCCTTCTAATGCTTCATTTTGTTATTCAACCCCATGGGACTCAAAATGAAGAGATGCATCCAAAAAAAATTCTCTGTTCTTTAGTCATGAAACTCCTCGAGAGGCAAATTTCCAATCTCTCAACATGCTAGAGAATAATGAAAATCAAGGGAGAGCAAAGCTGCCTTGTACAAACATCTTGCCAGTACAACATAGCAGGATATATCTAACAAACAAAATTCTAAAACAATAGCCTTTATCTAGGCTAACTAGGACAAGATCTGGTAAAACTACAAGCTTAAAAATTACTGATATTAGCTGGGCGTGGTGGCACACATCTTTAATCCCAGCACTCAGGAGGCAGAGGCAGGCAGATCTCTATGAAAACAAGACCAGCCTGCTCTATATAGTGAGTTCCAGGCAAGCTGGGCCACAGGGAGACCCTGTCTCAAAAAGACCAAAAACAAAAGAAAATCACTGATAGTGCAGTGATTTCATATAAGTAAATGACCAGCTTTCTGGAAAACTGTTTTCTTGTGGTCATCTATCCCCTCTGTCTCTTACAATCTTTCTGCCCCCTCTTCCACAATGATCCCTGAGCCTTGGGAGGCAGAAGTTTGATATAGGTGTCCTATTCAGGGATAAGCACTCTGCACTCTCTTGTTTTCTGTGTATTACCCAGTTGTAGGTTTCTATGAAAATTATAAAAATTCAATAAAAAGTTTTAATTACTGATATTAAAAACTATTCCATAGCATAGTTTGCCTTCCAAAAGAAATCAAATAAACCTTAAACTTCAATATTCTTTAAAAAAATAGTACCTTAAGCCGGGCATGGTGGTGCACGCCTTTAATCCCAGCACACGGGAGGCAGAGGCAGGTGGATCTCTGTGAGTTCAAGGCCAGCGTGGTCTACATAGTGAGTTCCAGACCAGCTGGGGCTACAGGGAGACCCTGTCTCAAAAAGACCCCCCCAAAAAATAATAAATAAAAATAAAAATAAATTAAAAATAGTTACCTCCAAATTCCTCAAAATTTTTTTGTCAGGAGGGATCATTTTCTTAGGATGCTTTCCTTAGGATGTTTTTGTTGGGGGTATATGTTGTTTGGAGATATTTGGTTTTGGTTTTTTTGGTTTCTTGGTTTCTTGGTTTCTTGAGACAAGTTCTTGCTATGTAGCCCCAGCTGGCCTGCAACTGGCTTTGTAGGCTGCTTTGAATTCATGATCCTCCTAAATCTAGTCTCCCAACTGCTAGGATTATAGGCATGCACCACTAAGCCAAACTAGGATGATACTTCTTTTCAATATATATGTTTCATAAATTTAGAATGTTTAAATTCCTACATTAAGAAGAAAGAGTTTAGTAAAAAGCCAAAATCGGGGGGCTGGAGAGATGGCTCAGCGGTTAAGAACACTAGTTGTTCTTGCAGAAGACCCAGGTTCTAATCCCAGCACCCACATGGCAGATAACATCAGTGTGCCTGTGGCTGCTAAAAACCACCCGTAACTCCAGGTCCAGGGGATCTGATGCCCTCTTCTGGCCTGCACCAGCATTGCATTCACGGGGTATGCTTACACACAAGCTACACATAAAATAAATAAATAAATAAATAAATAAATAAAATTTAAAAAATTCTGTCAACATCTGCATAGGCTTTGTGCAGATACTGAATTTTTAAGTCCTTGAAAGATGACTTCAGTTTCTATAGTTCCACAATATGAAAGAAAACCATTTGTATCTCACATACTCACAACCCAACCCAGGTTCATGAGTGATCTTACCTTTGGTTATTTGTTATCTGGTTATTCTTCATAGGAACATTGAAGTCCACTCTGAAAAAGAAAAAAAGGTTTCAGATTCAGAGCCATAATTAATTTATTGGTCCATCAAATGTCAGAAGCACTTTATTGAACCGGTTAAGTAAACTGAAATTTTGAATCTCACCTTAAAAATATTAAGAAACATTATTATATTAAGATAGAGGGGGCTAAGCCAGGCATAGTGGTACACCCCTTTAATCCCAACACTTGGGGGGGTGGATCTCTATGACATAGACGCCAGCCTGGTCTACAATAGGCATTTCCAGGCCAGCTGGAGCTACGGGGAGACCCTGTCTTAACACCACCCAAAAAGACAGAGGGTGCTAGAGAGATGACTCAGCAGTTAAGAGCACTTGCTGCTTTTGCAGAGGACCCAGGTTCAGTTCCCAGCACCCACATGGAGGCTAACAACCATCTGCAACTCCAGTTCCAAGAGATCCAACACCCTCTTCTGGCCTCTATGGGTTTGCATGCACATGGTGCACTTATATACATGCAGGCAAAACACATACACATAAAATAAAAATAAATAATAATAATAAATAATTAAGATAGCAAACTGGCAAGATGGCTCAGTGGGTAAAGGCACTTGCCACCAAACCTGACAACCTGAGTTCAATCCCCGGGACCCACATGGTAAAAGGAGAGAATGCTCACAAGTTGTCCTCTAGCCTCAATACACATGACTTGGCATACATACATACATACATACATACACACACACACACACACACACACACACACACTAAATAAATAAATGAATAAATATAATAAAAAGTTTTAATGAAGATAATATTTGGTCATGGACAAGAGGGTGGGAACAGTAACAGGAAGAGGTCACCAGACAGGGTTTCTTGGGTATGAGTTCACATTCTACTTCTTGACCTGTTTTTACAAATGTGCCCATTTCCTGATTCATTTTTGAGCTTATGACTTGTATCTTTTTAGGTATGTATCTAATACTTTAAAAATAAAGTTAAAACCATAAAAACTAACATACACCACAAGAGCTAGCCCTGAAGACCTGGGAAGCTCAAGGCAGTTGTCCCTAAATGTGTTTTTCTATATTTTGGCCTGACATGGTAGTTATCTACATAGCCTGAGGGGGTGTCCTGAGGGGCTGAGAAATAAGTAACACATCTTGATTCCAATTGTTTTGACACTATTTATGGGTCCTTGTGAAAACATCCCTTGAAAAAGAGAAATTCAAAATATTTTTTTGAAGGTCCGATTCTGTACTAGAAAGAAACCCAGGATCCAAGTTTACATAATGCCCTTCAAGCAATACACAGACAGTATAAAAAGACAGCCTCACTCCAGTTGAAAAACGGGCAATCAGAAGGCAAGTGATCAAAGTTGGTATAAGCTAATAATACATTGAAATTTTCCCTTTTTACTTTACAGATTACTGTTTTATCATATTCTTGTGGTGGTACTAGAGACTGAATCCAGGGCCTTAGGGATGCAGACAAGTGCTCTATCACTGAGCTATATCCCCATCCCTGCTTTACCATTTTCTTTATTTTATTTTTCTTTTATGTGTATGAGTGTATTGTGTGCGTGCAGTAAGTGCACCTGAGTTGTGCAATGCCCGCAGAGGTCAGAAGAGGGCGTTGGATCCTCTGGAACTCACTATGTAGACCAGGCTGGCCTTGAACTCACAGAGATCTGCCTGCCTCTGCCTCCCCGAGTGCTGGGATTAAAGGCGTGTGCCACCACACCCAGCTTTAATTCATTTTTTAAGAAAGCCTTTATAATTAAAAGGTACTATGCTTCTGAACAAAGAAATACACTGCACTTGGTTTAAGGCCACTTGTGAAGCATAGTTTTTAAATATCTTAAGCAGGCCTTTGCAAGCCTTAAAGTACATACCAAAGCAAATCAGGTATCTCATTACCAGGGCTCACTTCCCCTCCCACAGTCTCCCAGAAAGACTCATGACAAAAGGGTTAATGGCAAGAGGGGACAAGAGTGGGGAGCACAGGCCACCCCTTGCAGTGCCATGCCCTGCTCCCAGAATCTTACAGGAAGGAATGCCTTTGGGCTGAAATACCCCAAAATAGATCACAACTATCTCAGTTGTGATGGCATCAACTTCCTGATGAAAAGTGGATTAGTTCTCTTGCTGCCCTCTTGATTACCTTCGCTCATCATCTCGTAGACTTGAAGCAACTCTGCCTTTAGCTTCTCAAAAACCACAACTCTCACCTCAAAGGAGGTAAGAGATAGTTTATTCTGGAGCCAGTTTATTCTGGAGCCAAATGGGAGTGATCATGGCCCAGGAACACAGATTTAGATCACCCCAAATTTCATGTTCCACAATGGTAAGTTTCATAAAGTTTGGATAGTAACAGAACCAACAAGGCCATAAGTCAAAACAATTATTTTAATACACTGGTGGAGACATCAGAAGCAAGTTACAGCAGAGAAATCTCTGCCACGGGCCTCGGATGCTATATCTGATGACGCTTTTAGCTTTGGGATTGGTAAAGACTAGTGGCCTATTAATCCATCACAAAAGGTTTTTATCTGTTAGTCACAGGATGTTAGGCCTGACACAGAGATGGGACAAAGAATGGCTATTTAGGAGGCTAAAGATAGCCCAAGAGAAACTATATTTAGGCTCTGGTCCTGCAGCATTCCAAACACTCCACAATCATTGAGTGAAGTTTTAATCAGCTAATCAGCCTTGCAAGAGGTGCAGTTGAAGATGCCATTTTTTTTCTGGGAACTTTCATGCACACTATTCACTCCACTTGTTCCATTTTGTTCTAAAACATACACCCTTTCTTCTTCTACTTCTTGGGAACAGTCTCAAGCTTTGCCTCAAAAACAGATTCAAGTATCACTCTATTTATCAGAGTGGCTAAAATAAAAAATAACGGTGTTACCGAACCTGGGTCACAATCTGTGTCCCAAGAAGCTAAGCTTTGTCACTCATCCTTGGCAATTCAAGTAGAATAGCCAAATTAATAGTAAAAAGCAGGGGGCTGCAGACATGGCTCAGCGGTTAAAAACAATGGTTGTTCTTGCAGAAGACCCAGGTTCGAATCCCAGCACCCACATGGCAGCTAACAACTGTTCATAACTCTAGTTCCAGGGGATCCAACAGCCTCTTCTGACCTCCCCGGGCACTGCACAACATGGGTGCACTTACCTACATGCAGGTGATACACGCATACACATAAAATAAAAAGAAAAAATTTTTAATTTTTTTAAAAATAGTAAAAAGCAGAAAAATGAGATTTATTCAATGTGAGCACACTGGGAAGAGACAAAGGGACCCAGTGACCAAGTCCATCTTCAGGATTGAAGTTCAAATACAGGACCAGGGATACACATCTAAGCAGTCCAAGTCAAGATGTGCCCCCAGCCACCACTGATCCATTGCTGTCTGTAAGCTTATAACTGCTGGACAGAAGGGTTTCCCTTCTGATAGGTCAGACCTTTCTCCTCCCAGCATAAGATTCCTGGAGAAATTCCAATTTCTTAGGGCCCACTATTTTAAGAATCTGAGAGCTACAGTGTCTCTTCATAATATATTCATTTCTTCCAGGTCAGTTACAAACACCAGCAAATGCTGGTGAGGATGCAAACTGTTCACTCATGCGCTACTAATAGGAATGTAAAATGGTGCAGCAGCTTTGGAAAACCATCTGGAGATGCCTCAAAAGGTCAAAGATAGGAGCATTCAGTGGCAGAGTGCATGCAATTCCACTCCTAGGTGTGTTACAAGAGAAATTACAGAGCATTGCCAAACCGAGACCTGCACAAGAATGTTCATAGTGGCTTCATTTGTAATGGCCCCAACTGGCAACAACCCAGCCTTCAATGGAGGAATGATTCAACTATGACACACCCATACCGTGGAAAACTACTCAGAAATTCAAAGGAACATGCTACTGACACATGTGCCAGCTTGGGTAAATCTTGAATAAATGCTGAGTGAAAAAAGTCAATCCCCAAAAGTTTTATACTATGTGAATATATTTATGTAACATTTTTAAAATGACAAAAGTTTGTAAGCAGAGGACGGGTCAGTAATCACCAAGAGTCAGGCATGGAGGGTATGATTATAAGTGGGTAGCATGAGGAAGATCCTGGTGGTGAACAAACAGTTCTGTGTCTGGATTGTGAGTATGGTTATGAAAATCTACCTGTGATAAAATGGCAGACTACACGCACTTTATATCAATATCAGATTCTGACTTTCAACACTGCATTTATAATGATGGATGAAACTGAGTTTCTGTACAATCTTTGCATTCTTCTGAGTTCATGATTATTGCAAAGTAAAACTTTAAAAAGCACTTAGTGGGAATATCATGTCTTTACTGAAATTCCAGGATTGCAGGTCGAGTTCCACCAAAAACTCTCAAAGGAACCACGCCCATCATTGCTTCACTGTTCCCCCTGGAAAACTGGGCCATGGCAGTCCCTGCTCTCCCTTTTTCTCTTTCCACTGCACCGGGGCTGTTGCTTAACAAGTCACAACAAGAGAAACCACTGAGGTCTAAACACAGGAGGGAACAACAACAACAAAAAAGGAAGTACCTCACAAGCAAGCAAAGGATAACTGGCAACATATGAACTGAAAGGAAATGATGTGGCAAAAAAACAGCAGGAAAGTTACTCAAAGGGGCTAATAAAGTCAGCTGGAGCCCCCTACCCCCACACACACACACACTCAGAGGGGCTAATAAAGTCAGCTGGAACTCCCTCCTCTGCCCCCCACACTCAGTGGGGCTAATAAAGTCAGCTGGAGCCCCCTACCCCCCAACACACACACACTCAGAGGGGCTAATAAAGTCAGCTGGAACTCCCTCCCCCTCCCCCCACACTCAGTGGGGCTAATAAAGTCAGCTGGAGCCCCCCACACACACACACACAAAAGAAAACTGAAGGGGAACCTGGGGATTAACCAGCCAGAGGTTTCTGGCTATCTATAAAGTTTCTCCAAAAGGGGCTGCAGTATGTGGCTCAGTGGTAGAGCACTTGAGCACAAAAAGGCTGGTGTTTGATTCCCCAGCAGCACAAAAAATAATAAAGTTCCCCCAACAAACCAATTTCCTCTGCCAATTCAAACCAAGGAACAAGTCAGCAAACAGAGTGCCCTTCTACAGGGCAGAATGGAGGAAAGTGAAACAGTCATGACTCGAGGCCCCATTTCTGAATCACAGCCAGCAGCCACCACAAAAAGCACTGAAACAAAATGGTATTGAGCTCACTCCCTCATGGCTGATTAGACTCCTCTAAAAAGTAATCCTACAATGCAACTCTCTATTTAAGAGTGATGTTAATCAACGAGGAAACAAAGCAACTTCCTGTCCTCAGCCTAAATAAGTACAATCCACCTACATAACAGAAAGAAAAGTGGTTGCAGCCACAGCAGACAAAAAGTTTTATTTCAACCTGTCCTTGGTCATTATGTCCAAGTACTTAGAAAATCTGATTAATAGCCAAGGAGACTCAAATTCTAGTCCTGTCTCTGCCACAAACTTAAAAGTTCAATAACCTTGAAGAGGTCATTTTCCTTCAGCAAAAATCGGCTAGCCAATCATATAAAGGACCAAGGTTTATCTGTGTTAAACAAAACCGCATTTGGTGCAGAGAGAGAAAAATCTAAGCACTCCCTCCAGTCTCTCCCCTAACCTGCATAGTTAATTCCTCAAGACAATTTCCCTGCAGGAGGGGAAGTAAAACCCCAAAATGCAATTACAATTACAGGATGGTGACCTGCATGGGGCCCTACAGTTTGCCTTTCAGCAGCTGCATGCATCTAGAAAGGCCAGCCTCAAGCCAGTGGAGGTAGGATATAATTTAAACCTGAAAGCCAGGCCAAAATCTACCTGTCTATGAGAGCTAGATCCTGCCTTTATCTAATACTAGGAGGGATCCTGGCCACCCTATCTATTTAGGGCAACTGATACATAAGTGTTTCTCATGAACATAACATTACTGGGCTCTGAAGATCTGCACAGCATCTGCACACTAAGAGAAGACCATCTGCCAAGTAATATTAGCTACAATGGAAGTGTACCTGTACAGTTCTCCAACTCTTTTGTGGAGGTTCTCCCTGTAGCCCCAGCTGGCCTGGAACTGGCTATGTAGACCAAGAGATCCACCTGCTCTGCCTCCCGAGTCCTGGGACCAAAGGCATGGACCACCACACCCAGCCCAGTTCTCCAACTCCTAAGTGCAGAGATGGGAGAGCCTCTGCTGCCTTACACGTGTGTTAGTAATCTAAAAGTTGCCCTCACATGAACTGGTCTAAAATTATAAACGGGGATTATATCATTCACCTACTGCCCATCAGTCAACCACACTTCCAAAAACCGTCAAGGCTGCACAAAGTAGTCACCGGAACTCTATGGCCCTTCAAAATCACCATCCTTGGATTCTAGAGTTATATGAACAGTCAAATCCATCATTTCCGTGCCTAACCATTGTCCTTCACTCCTGGAACACAAAAGACACTGTATATTACAAAAAGGAGGAATGTCAAAATTCCATACATCACGCTAGTAATTCTGGCCGATTAGGGAAAAGCCACCTTGGTAAACGACACGGGATCCACGTGTGTAGGGTAAGAGACTCCCATGTGCGTAGGGAGACTTCCTCCCTTCTAACATCCTGTTTCTCTAGCTGCCTCTGAGAGTGGGGTTGGAGGCCTCCAAGTCAGAGCAGCCACACCCTACTTTGACCCAGCATGTGTCTCAATCCTGATGCAAACCCCGTGGCCAAGAGTCCAACGGCAAGGTAGGCCAGCAGAGGCCTGTTACGTAAGCCATACAGAGCCTCATCCGCTGGGCCTCACCCGCTCCTCCACAATTCTTAGTGGGGCCTCCACTCCTGAACAGTTCCGAAATCCTTCTGTATGGGGACCATTGAAAGGTGGGCAGTTTCATTCTGGTCAGGGCTGGTCCATGGACCGTGGGGGGAAGGGAAATTAACCAAATGACCTTTCAAGGTCCGTCCACCGGGACCTAGAGATTTCATGATAAGCATTAGGTTCCACCTCGCCGACTGGGAGCTAGAGAGGACAAAACTGCATTTCAGAAAAAAGAAAGAGGTGGATCCTGGCAATCGGAGCCATTTCTCAGTAGGATCCACTCCTGAAACGAGACTCTGGTCGCTTTCTGAGCTGGAAGAAAAGCTGTTAGGAGGCATCAAACCTAGGTAAAGCCTCGACCCCAACGGAGTACGCGGGAAAACCTTGCCCGCCCTGCAAGCCCAGGAGCCCTGAGATCCAGCAGAAAGGGAAGCGCAACTTAGGGTACCCGGGAGAGCATGCTCGCCAGGGCCGGTGAGGCTGCAGCAGAGCCTCGATTATGGCAGCCATACAGGATTACCTCATAACGACCCGCTTCCCCTTCACGTCCAGCTTGTCCAGGGTCAGCTTGTTAGAAAGCGACATTGTGGCAACACAGTAGGGGCGAGAGGCCGGGAGCTGATGAAGCGGAGACTACAGCGAACAACGTACACCGGAGAAGCATGCAGAATGCCGAGCGGTTCAAGGCCCGGAGCGCGCCCGCCCCACCCCTGGCTCCGCCCTCCGTCCCGCCCCTTCCCAGCTGCGGCTCAACGCCGGCCCAGCAGAACTGCTGCTATTGGCCGTCGCCCAGAAGGGCAACGCGCTGCCATTGCTCCGAGGTGCTGTCCATCTGCAGGGGGACTGGTGGGACGTGCAGGTTCCATTTGTCACGTCCGGCACGACGCGAGCAGCAGGGAACCGTCCCCTCCTAGGGGAGGAGCGGGAGGCGGCACCGAAGGACTGGCTAGAAGAGAGTAAAAGGTGGCGCCTTGGGGTGGACGTGAAAGTGTATGCCAGGCGTGAGGCCGATTCTGTCCCCGCGTTCCCAGAGTTGTGCCCACAGTGGCTGCATCGCTGCGCATGCTCCCGACTGCCTTGGGAAAAGCACCCCCACCTGATGGAATTCCCAGGGCCGTTTCCCGGTTGTTGGAAAATGCCACCTCATTTTGCAAACCTCTGCTTTCCCGACTTCCTAAAATGGAATTTTACACAAGGCCTTATTTAGTAATTGAAACCTCTCAGACGGCAGAAAAGGACCAGGTCCCCCCGCCCCTTTTAAAATAAAAAGTGCAACGCAATTGACTTGGTTACATTATTCATATGTAGTATTTTTCATACGTTAGCAACGTTCACCTCCGAAGTATGTTCTGTTATTACAGGTGAAATAACTGATGCATAAAGATTTAGTGACTTGCCTAAGGTTGTAGAGCCTGGGCCATCAGGATCTAGACTAATATCTATTGTGGATGCTGCTCAGTGGTAAAGTGCTTGCCTGCAGTCTCAGACACAACTGCTAGTTAGGAAACAAAAGGGAACCCGGAAAATGGAAGCCCTTCCCCCTCACTCTCCTGGTTCCTATTTGTGTCTTTTGATCTGGCTGACACTCATGAGTTTTCAATTTAACTGACCAGACCACCTCTGGAAATTAGTATATTAAGCAAAGTAACTCAGAAATACTATGCTCTCATATACAGATACTACACTTTAATTTTTATGTATGCATATATATGAAGAGGATAAATATAGGTCATGAAACTAGAAAGAGGACCGTGAAAGGGGAAAAATGGGTTTTTAAGAGGCAGAGGGAGAGAACAAAGGGACAACAGGAAACAAGTGACGTGAATGCATAATAAGGGCAACCGAAGGGGGGGGGGAGGAAGGAAATGAAGGGGCATAGAAAGGGGGTATGGAAGAGGAGGATGAACAAAATGTATTATTAAAATGCCATAATGAAGTCCATTGCTTTGCATGCTAATTCAAAAACAAATGAAATTTTTAAAAAGAAGTATAATCCCCCTTTCTGAAAAAATATCACATATGAGATTGTTAAAAATGGCTAATGAACTAAGCCTTAAGGACAACCTTAAGTGTGAAGTATGTATAAGGATCCCTTTGATTTTTTTGTCTTTATTCTATGAGTGTTTTGCTGCATGTAAGTATGTGCACCTATGTGTGTCTGGTGCCTGCAGAAGGCAGAAGAGGCATTGGATCCCCTGGAACTGGAGTTAGAGATGGTTGTTAGTTATCATGTGGGTACTAGGAACCAAACACCAGTCCTCTGCAAGAGTAGCAAATGTTCTTAAACCACTGAGCCAGTTTTGAAGAATGTTTTCTCTCTACTAGCACCACCTTTCTCCAGCTGCAGGCCTGCAGAGTGTGAGTGTGCCTAAAAAGGTTTCTTCTGCAAGCACAGAGATCTCTGGATAAGAAAAGAGGAATATACCCAGAAAGCCCTACTCAGGTTACTGCCCAGTGTAGTGTGCACAATAAACTACTCTTCCTGTTCTGATCTGAAGACAAAAAGAAAGACAAATGTACTAGCACACACTTTCCCTAATATCTAAACTTAGTTACAGATTAAATCACTCCAAAGCCCCAGAGTCACATATACAGCTACTGCTGAGGAAAAAAAGTTCATTCCTCTCCCAACACCCACACTTGACTTCCTTCAAGTGTATCTTGGCTTTCTTTTTATAATTTTTAAACATATTTTTCTTATTTTCTTATTTTTATTTACTTTATTACTATGATGATGATGATTATGATGATGATGATGTGTGTATGAGAGAGAGAGAGAAGAAGAGAGAGAGAATATATGCCATGGTGCAAAGAGGTCAAGACAACTCTCTTTCTACCGTGGGTCCCAGGAATTCTGTTCCAGAAACTTGTCTTCACACTTGCATAGCAAACACTTTTACCTGCTGAGCCCTCTCACTGGCCCTGTACTTTGTCATTCTGCTTTATCAACAAACCCACTGTTCACTCTGATTCCCCCTGAAGGTCTTTTCTGTAGTGGATGTAAAGGTGTCTTGGTGTACCTAAGCACCTGCACCACCCCCCAACTCTAAAGAGGTCTCTACTCTCCACCAGGTGCACTGTGAACAACAACAGCATTTTCCTGCTGCCAGTGACAAATTCATACATTTAACTACTTCATTATAGATACTAAAGAACTAAGTACTCTGTTTCAAATACAATTTCAGTTGGCAAAATGAAATAATTTGAGTTGGAAACAAAATTTTTCTCCATATGGTAATTAACATCAATGTGAGATGTCGGAGCATAGTAATTCACAGTGTATTGCAAATTCTTTGATTTTTTTTATCACATTGTGTGTGTGTGTGTGTGTGTAACAACCATGAGGAGGTCAGAAGACAATGTACAGGAGTTGGTTTTGTCTTTCTGCCTTGTGGGTGCCAGGGATGGAACTCGGTTGTCAGGCTTGGTGACAGGTGCCTTTCCCTGCTGATCCACCTTTCCAGCCATCGTTTGATATTTAATTCTGTTGTTTGTATCCTTTGCTGTGAAGAGGCCATTTTCACACTTGGAAATTGTGCTGGATAACTTTAGTGTTAACTTGACACATCTGGGTTGACGAGCCTCAATTGGGGAATTGCCTCTATTGGACTGTTGACACAGAGGTCACAGGCTAACTTGCTGGACACAATTCTCTCCTTTCACCAATGTGAGTGTCAAGGATTGAACTCACATTGTCAGGCTTGCCAACAAGCACCTTTACTCACTGAGCCATATCACGGGGCCCACAGTGCACTGATATTAAGACTCAAGTGAGTCTGATAATGAGACACAGATGTACAGTGAGCAGATAAATATCCATTTCTGTCAATCCTTTCAAATCTTTTGTTCCTTTCAATCTTACTAGAAAATAATTCCTAGAAGTTATTCCCAAATGAGTCTATGGCCTCCTGGCCTTCCTGTGACCTATCATTTTGTAGTTATTTCATTCTTCCTGAGTTATTGTGGTAATGGGACAGATTACTTTTGGATAAGGTAAAACTGCACCTTACAACATCAGCAAGGAAACAAAACAAGCATAGACTCTGAAGACCTGACTTAATGATTCTTTCCCATTATTGAGTGCTTACTGTTTGCCAGACACTGCTGTGAACCAAATATATGTGACTCATTACTCCTCACAATAACTTTATGAAGTAGGTATGATATCTATTTTAACCATGAGAACACTGAACCCCATGAAGTAACAGCAGAAACCTGTGACAGCACAAAAATTTGAAAATAGAGAAGGCAAAAATTATATTTGCGAAGCAAAGCAAGTGTGGACCAGATCCCTTGGGTATTATAACAATGTTAATGACACAATTTTTATCCTAAGAGAATGGGGAAACTATTTGTTACAGTCACTGTTACCTATCAATAGCTATTTCCCACCCACCACTTTCCCTGCTTGCAGAAATCCGATTTAATAGAGCACTGCGCTAGTGACAAGTGCTCAGCAAATATAGGCTTTTCTCCCAGCACCAACAGATGAATTGTGAGCCAAGCTGAGTCTGGCAATCCCATCTCCCTTTGTCACACATTGGTCTAGGAATGGGCATTGACCCAATTCAGGTCAGTGAGATAAAAGGGGAAGTGTGCTGACATGTTCTGGGAAACTTAGCAGCTAGAAGAGCAAGACCTTTGTTCTTTTTGCCCTTAGTCTCCCTTCTTGCTTGAGATACTGACCTGTGAGAACATTTCATTTAGAGTTTGGGGTGGTTCTAAGATATGTCCACAGATTATTTCATATTCCTCTTTCAAAAAGTGGCACCCAGCTGGAGGAACTTCTCAGTGGCAGACCACTTACCCAGGATGTAGAAGGCCCTGGGTTCACTCTCCAGCACTGCAAAGAAATACAGTCTGATTCTTTTCCCCATGACTGTGAGCTGTATAGATATTGACTCATTTCTGATTAATAGAATGTTATGAAGTAACTGTGGATGACTTTTATGACTAGGCCATAAAAGCATTGTGGATAGACAGGAAGAGAGAGAGGAGAGATAAATAATGCCTAGCTTGTGTTAAAAAAAGAGGGAATCATTTTAGTTCAAAAACCTACTGAAAAATTACACATACTATATCTCTACATGAGTCCATGTGTATAGCTAAAGGCTATATAACAAGAAACAGTGCCAGACAGGAGAAATCTCCCTTTGAGGTGTTGGCTAAGATAGTCCAAGAGCCTCCCCAAATTGTACAGGCTATTGCCACAACTCTTAATTGCCTCCCAGTACATGAAAGTAAGACCCTATTGCTGAAGACAAGACATGCTTCAGGCACAGGACTTCTAGCAATGGAACTAGAATTGACCTGGAAGTCACCTCCCTGAAGGCTAGCTCTCATAGTTTTGGAGAGCACTATGCAAACTGCTCAGGGAGAACATCAATCAGTGGTCCAACCCCAGCTTTAAGGCCTAATAATTACAACAATGACCAGCACAGCAAACTATTTTGGGGTAGTAGTGGCACTTTTATCTTGGGTAATCAATAGTTACTTAATTGAACCTAAAGCCCACTCAATAGAAGGGAACTCATGTGTGGTACTGTAAATATAGCCACATACACATGGCTGGAGAGGTCATAGGTCTTAGAGAAAACCCCAAGGCTGTCACATCCCTAGACAAATGCAATTTCTTACTATGTGCTAAATCCTATCCTTATATTTACAGACAAGTATATCAGTCACCACTCATCAAAGAAGCTTCTTTTTCAATAGACATAGAATATTACA